GTATGCCACTGACTGGTTTGAGGGTCATGAAACAAGCTAGAATATACCATGAAGAACTGAACATTGAAGGTGAGTGTGAATATTCAGAAGGTTGGCGACAGAAATTTAAGAAGCATCATGGGATAAAATATCTGAAAATCTGTGGTGAAAAAGGTTCTGCTGATCATGAAGCAGCTGAAAATTACATTGACAAATTTGCCAAAATAATATCTGATGTAAACCTTGGTCCTGAACAAATTTACAATGCTGATGAAACAGCTCTGTACTGGCACTGCATTCCTAGAAAAACATTAACAATGGCTGATGAAAGATCACCAACAGGTGTTAAGGACGCTAAGGACAGGTTGACTGTTCTTGGGTGTGCCAATGCTGCAGGCACACACAAGTTAAAGTTGGCAGTGATTGGAAAAAGCCAACAACCGAGATGTTTGAAAGGTGTATGCAATTTACCTGAGCATTATTATGCGAACAAGAAAGCATGGATAACCAGAGAAATATTTTCTGACTGGTTCAATAACCACTTCGTTCCAGCGGTACGAGCTCACTGCAGGCAAGCTGGACTGGAAGAAAACTGTAAAATTTTATTGTTCCTGGACAACTGCTCCACACATCCCCCTGCTGAACTTCTTGTGAAAAGTAATGTTTTTGTCATTTACTTTCCCCCAATGTGACATCTTTAATACAGCCTTGTGACTAAGGAATTTTACACTCCATGAAGAGCAAGTATAAAGACTTTTTTTTAACTGTATGCTTGATGCAGTCAACGAGGCATAGGAATTCAAAGCTTCCTGAAAGAGTTCAATGTTAAGGATGCCATTTACGCAGTTGCTAATGCTTGGAACACTGTTGATAAACCAACATTAACAAATGCTTGGCACAAACTTTGGCCTACAACAATGTTTGATGTAGATGAACATGCAGATGAAAACTTTGAAGGATTTCGTGTCACTAAGGAGAGGAAGTTGATATCAAACCTCCTTACTTACGCCAAAGGTTTATCACCTGAAATTGTAATTAAGTTATAGGAAGCTGACACTGAAGAAGTGCTGAACATTGACAATGATGCACCTGTTGTGCATTCGTTGAGTGATGGGGAAATTGCTGAAATGGAGTTAAATAAAGATAAGCATGAGGACAGTAGTGATGATGATGACATTGTGAACCCGGGTGTAAAAATCCCCATACACGATATGATGAAAATGTGTGATCAGTTAATTAATGTCCTTGAGCAACGTGCATTTACCAGTGAGCAAGAGATTATGGCAGTTTACTCAATTAAAGAGAGAGTGCTTAGACAGAAACCAATGTAATGAGACAGACGACACCGGAAGAAGTCTTTATAAAGGCCATCTGTCGTAGTGCCGAGTCATCACTTGAGAGTCCTGTTCCTGGCCCATCTTCAGATGTCCGACCCCAACTTGATGACAACACTGATGTACCATTTTCGCCAAGATCAAGCCAGATGTAATGTACCTTCACTGCATGTATATGTACAGGTATTTAGCTTAGTTTGTACCTGTATATGTTCGTTTTACTTAATGTTTTCCTTACAAATAAACTGTACTAGAGTATTTATGGACTATATTTATCCCATGATTTCATTTACCAAATTATTACTGTACAAATAACCTGTAAAACTATTGATAGTCTTTATTTATCCCACTCAGTGTGAATATTCATAAGGTTCGTTGTAGAAATATTAATGTGTTTGCTTACGGGGTACTGCCACAGACCCCGCTAGGGTGTTACCATAATATACGGTATATGTAGCATACTACCGTTATGAAATCCAAAAAATTCCGAATTTCAAAACACATCCGGCCCCAAGGGTTTCAGATAAGGGATTGTGAACCTGTACTCAGGTACTATACAGACATACTGTAGACAGGTTCATTGCCTGCCTGCAGTCAGTGAGTCACTACGGGGCAGTTGAAAAGCACCATATTGCTTATATTGATGATCATTTATTCTATGGGGTCCTTTAATCTTTCATCATTTAATCACTGGATTCTGTATAATTACACATGGTTCATTAATTATAGTGAATTTTTAAAGTTTCATTCCTACAAGGTAAAAACAATAAAGGTATTTGTTGTAACTTATGGGAAGATGTAATATCTGTGTGCTCATTGTGCTGCATCATGCTAACTCACTTTCTTAGTGTCAAAGAAAGTTTACAGCACTTCAGTCTGCTTCCTGTAGGTGTTTGACCATAAGCATTATTAATTTAGTTGGCTCTGGGTCACGCGGGCCGGAAGACTCGGGACCACTATCTACCATAATCACTTTACAGAAATAATCCTGGTTTACTTTTCACTGGAAGTTTTTCATCAAAGGAAGTTTAGAAGGAAATTTACTTTTTTGTTAGTGAAATCTAAGTAAATTTGACAACCAGATCAAGAAAATCGAATTTCAAAATGTGGAAGCACTGATGAGTTTCCAGACTACAAGTTAGAGGAACCTTTAGGGCAATCCCAAACTCTTCTAAAATAAATAAATAATAGGGAAATGTTGGAATATAATTCAAACATATAAGGGTTTTGTTGCACCTCATCCCTAGTTTTCCCCCTTCCCAGTGAGTCAAGCTACCACTAAACCGAATTTTGTACTAATGTTAAGTAAGAAAGGGTGTAAAAATTTTTTTATCGCTAAACCGAATTAAAGTTAAGTGAATTATTGCTAAACGAGTGATGCTTGTACAACATAATAATGCTTGGGCTGTAAATCATCTAAGAAAATATCTTACATCTTTGACTATTCTTTTTTATTTATTATCTGTGACTAATGTAAACAAGAATAGTTAGCAATTTATTACCTTTTACAGTACAGTATTGTAATTTCTGTTTATTGAAGACAATACTGTATCAACATGGTTATTTTGGGACAAAACCAAAAAAGATCTAGGATGAAAGCCATAATCAACCTTGGAAGCACTATTACAGGAGAGGTTAAGATGGCGGTTCTTTTTCTCTTAGTGATGCTTCTTTTCTTTGGACACAGTTACACTTTGTTACACTTTCCCACAACTCAGTTTTCTACATTTTTTTAACCTCCACCGAACCACGGTTTCATTTTTCAAGATCTTGCTTCAAGAAGCAAGTAAGTGTATGCTGCTCTGAACCAGGTGGTAAGAAAGCTATAGAAATAGTTAGATTCAAAATGTTTGTACAGTCAGAGTAAGATGACAGCTGCAATGTGCTACCTATAAGGTTTACAGAATTAATTTTTTATTTTCTGGAATATAACATACAGTAAATAAGTGGTTCAACTGCATGATGTTATCAATGCTGAGTTTGTGGTCAATTAGAATTCATTTCTCCTTGCAGCTGCTCAAGCATCAGTTCAATCCTACCACTCATGATTGGCTGGCCTTTCTTTGTTTTCTGATTCAGTTTTTTATACCGCTGTAACCTCTTTTCTTTGTACTTCCTTGTAGCTTCATCAATTTCTTTTCTTCTTTTGAAAGTTTCCAATTTTTTCTGCTCATTTTCAGAAATTTTCTTGTGGTACTCTGCTTTAGCTATGCGTTGCCAACTATGTAACTTCTTTTTCCTATAAAAAAAAATACAGTACATAATTAAAAAATAAAATATGTACTAAACTGATAATAATAATGAGTAAAAATAACACAAAATTCCTTCCTTTTATAACAAATATGAGAAATTATTTAAGATCAGAAAGGAGATTGCGATGAAAAATTTGAAAGAATTACCGTACTATATTAACTGTCAGGTACTGCACTAGATTCCTAATTGTTAACTGTACAAGTACTTGTCAATGATGACAGGGATGACCACAAAAATTTTAAATGCAGATATTGGAGATGAGAATGGAGGCTTCCTGAAGGGTAAAGGTTGTGAAAAGATTACTTCTGTACAGTATATGCAAACACAAATGTACACTCACATAAGATGGAACTAATGATTGCTTTAGCTCATGACTGTGTACTCCGGAGAGAAGTGTGTTTAGGGATCCTTTGGACCCGCTACAAATTGATTACCAACTACTGCTTTCTGGTACTAAAGATTTCCATGTGGGGACATACTCTGACTACGTGACCTATAACCTATCAGAAGAATAAAACTAACACCTATGACCTCAGTAAACAACCTATACAGTACATTTCAAATTAAAAGAAAGCACTTTGCAATCCTTTAGGTCAGAGCACATGGTAGGGTGGTATTAAGGCATGTTCAAAAGTAATTGGTCTAAATGAGAGCTCTCTTAGAGCTGGGAATAAGAGTTGGTCAGAAATGCGTGCAGTCCTGTTTATTCAACATATTTATCAATGAAAATGAGAGGGAAAATGAAGGCAAAGGTAACCAAAGAAATAGCAGAACTGGAGCCTGAAGGTGGAATAGTAATATCTCCTTTAGCCAGAATCCCTCAAACCCGGAATTGAAATTTTCTCGGAAAATCATTCCCAAACCCGGAATTTTCTGGAAAATTCCATCTTTGGGACCGATTTTCCGAGGAGCAAACCCTGGAAAATCCAAGATTTTCGGTACCGGACATTCCAGGGATTGGGGATATTTATTCTGGGTTTGAGAGATGAAAATCAGGGTAATTTTCCGAATCCCAAGAAAAATTTTCCGGGCAGTGGATATTTTTCCAGGTTCGAGAGATCATGTTATGCATAATTTCTGGAACTTCTGAAAATATTTTTCCATTACCCGGAAAATTACGGGGGTGAGGGATTTTTTATTTTCAGCTATGAGAGATGAAATAATGCATCATTCTGGAACTTCCGAGAACATTTTTCCATTATCCGGAAAATTCCGGGGATGAGGGATTTTCTTTCCGGCTTTGAAGAATTACCCGGAAATCTCTCATTCCCTGAAGTGCTCTGCACCAAACAGAGATAACGCTGGTAACAGTTGAATCATGAAGTGAATTTTACTGAGTACTGTAAACAGAACTACAAAAGGTACAGATAAACTGGGTGTGTGACAGAAGAAAATTTAAATTACAGTATTACTGCACCTTTCAGAAAACAAGCACACCAACAAGACATGAAGCTTACCTCAACTTTGAGAAGAAGACAGACTCCTCATCCTCATCTTCTTTGGTCTGTTCATCATCACACTGCAGTTCTAATTTCTTGAGCTCATCTGTGAAATTAATCATGTCATGTGATAAGCATTAAGCAATAGAAAAAAAAAAATGGCAAAATAGTCTTATCACTGATTTAATTGAGTACTACTTGACAAAAGCAGGAGTTCAAAGTACAGGCAGTCCTCGACTTACAACGGGGGTTGGGACCCAAATCCAGGTAATAAGTTGAGTTGGTCATAGATCGAAAATAATACATATGAAATCTAAATGTGTCTCTTTTTCTTCTCAGCACCAAAAACTCACTTTTAAGCTTGCCAGCCATTTTAAAGGGAATTACAAACAAAAAGTTAGTACACAGGCGTCAATCACTAACGTCTGGACTCGAAAATACATAATTTGAAAAAAATTTTGATGCAGACTGGCGGTCGTGTGTCAGTTAGTTAATGGTCGAGTAGGTTGTAAGTCGATGAGTACCTGTACTGTACAGTATTGTATACAAAATCTTTCTTACATTAGGAAAAGTTAACAAAAGCTTTGAAATTGATGAATCGGTGGATATTACAGAAACAACTCAAGTCCATATATGCAACCCACTACAGGGGTTCCCCGGGTTCTGAACGGGTTCTGTTCCTCAGGACGTTCTTAAGTCTGAAATGTACGTAAGTTGGAACACATGCTATGTGCTCAGGCTTTCAACTGGCTCAGCCAAGTTAATATTATGATTTTTATTGACTTTGTATCTGTGTACTTCTGGCTAAAGAAACTACATATATCAATATCAAAAGCCTAAGTCCTTATATATATATATATATATATATATATATATATATATATATATATATATATATATATATATATATATATATATATATATATATATATATATATATATATATATATATATATATATATATATATATATATATATATATATATATTTCATGTAGATCCACAATGAAAACGTGGATAAGATAAATCTTGATAAAATCACAAG